CATATTCTACCCAGTAGCTGGGATGAACTTTAAAAAATATAAATCATATCATGTCATTTCCTTGCTTAAAACTTTCCAATGGTCCTTCAGTAAACAGAATAAAATTCAAACTCCTTATAATGGCGTACTATCTAGCCCTGTCTTCTCTGACTCATTTCCTAGTCTTTTCATTTTGTCCCTATTGGCTCCTCTTTAGATCTTTGTTACTATGTCTCCTCTTCAAAAAACTCTTTCCTACCCCCCATCTAAAAGTGTCTCTTCCCCTAATCACTTTCAAATCTCTTACTCTATTTTTTTCATATCATCTATCACTATCTGATCTTACATTTCTTTGTTTTCCTGACTATTTCACCTTCCTAATCCATCAAATCCCAGAGAACAATGGAAACAAAGAGAAAAATCCTAGGTCTGGAGGTGGCCAGGGTTATTAATGCTAAAACAGTCAATTCCCAACAGTGGAAACTCTGAGACAATCCTGTCACGATACAATTGATGAGAAATTTTAGAAAACTGGAAACCAACTGCCACTCCCCTTGCAAAGAGGTCACTTTGCTGTTAGTGAAGGCAGTTCTGACAGAGCTCACCGATCCCCTCTCGGGTAGAGGGAGCAAAAACAGAGGCATGGGAGAATGAGCGAGGAGGGTTTCTCACCAAAGAGGATGATTTCCCCTTCTTCACCACACCCAAAATAATAGAATTTGCTTTTTTAAATAAGACAGTGAATAAGAAACTAAGAATAAATAATGGTTTTTCAGTCAAGTGCCCTTATTTTCAATCTGATAAGTATTACTTAGATATGACTGGCACTATGTTCTTTATGGTATGGTGGTTTCTTTCCTTAATGATGACACTATTTCCAATTTCTAGCAGAGATGTGAGACCTTCTCTAACCTATTCACCACCGTCCCAGTTTTAGGAGGAGCAGAGAAGATGCTCCTCCACTGATAGCATCCTGGTCCAGACACTGCTTGTCCCTCGAATGTATTTATTATCCCGTTTCCACATTTAAAAATGGGGAATTTCGTCAATGCACATGTAAGATTTAAAGCCCCTTTCTCTATATATAACTTGAAGCTAAAACTATGTAAACATTTTGTTAAAATTCTTATTCCAAACACTTACCAGAACTTGAGTGGTGTTCCCAATTATGGTTATTGTGATATCACTTTAAACTTGAATGGTTATTTCTTGACATAGGTGACAGTTAAGCGAGTTCACATTGTGATAACTCGTTGAGCTGTACACTTGTGATTTGTGGACTCTTCTATATAGACATCCTTCTACAGACATTATTATTTTAAAAAGACTTGAGTAGTTTTCTTTTGCATGGGCTCTTTGGTTTGAATTCATGCTTTTTTTTCCCCCCCACTATGAAAATTCGCATAATTTGAGCAAGCAGCTAGGTATACCAGGAATCCTCGAGAGCAGTGGGAATGGACTAGATAGAGCAACGCCTTATGGAGCTGGAGATGAAATAAATGTATGTGTCTGAATAGCAACTTTTCTTGAAAGCAAGACCTGCATCAGCTGTCATCAGGAACACAGATGATGGTAGATCATTATTGAATATCAACAACTCACATTCTTAGGTTCTGTGTAAACTGAAGGTCCCAATCCACATTCAGGTCTATCCTCACAGAAGATCAAAACAGGAATCACCTTCAGGGCAAATCTTACAAAAGCAAAGAAACTAGAATGAGAAAAAAATATATATATAAATTTATAACATTTATATACACAAATATAAACATTTATATTTAAGGATAATAGGATTTTTGTTATTTAAAATGATAGGATAACAAGGGACTAATATATATTAAAAATGACTAGTTATAAAAACATGTATTAAGAATATGTGGAATGAAGTAACATCACCAAAAATTCCAGCGTATATTCAAAGATTCAATAGGATTTGATGAGAAATTAACAGTGATTCATATATCCATTTAAGTTGCTTAGTGAATAGATCTGGCATTAAAATTAGATTAGTTTAATTCCTTTAAATATCATCTATTTCTATTCCAACTGAATCTCCGGCTCATTGCTATAAATAATAACAGTAAAAATTTTAGGTCACTGGATAATACAGGAATTTTCCATTCTTTGGTGACTTACGTACATATGGAACTATTTATTACCAAATTAGGAAATCTGACAGAGTGATCAAATTGAAGACTTTTCCTCAAGTATTTTTAATATTATATCATCTAGATGTCTCTTTTCCAAACGTAGTTTTTCAATTACTTCTGTTCTTCTAAATTTGACTGATTTATTTCTGCATTCACAAATTTTCCATTACATACACTTTTTACTTTTACTTTGTCTTAAGGGAACACAGTTTCTTTCTACTTTTAGGCTTATTTCTAAACAATAGCCGTTAATTTGTAGGCAAAAGTAAAAGCAAACAAAATATTCATAATTAATAGTTTCACACTATTTTAGTAGGCAGTATAACTTTATGTATTTGCTTTATTTATTTGAGGAAGAGTAGCCCTGAGCCAACAGCTGCCAATCCTCCTCTTTTTGCTGAGGAAGCCTGGCCCTGAGCTAACATCCATGCCCATCTTCCTCTACTTTATATGTGAGACGCCTACCACAGCATGGAGTGCCAAGCGGTGCCGTGTCTGCACCCAGGATCCAAATGGATGAACCGGGGCCGCCGAAGCGGAACATGCGAACTTAACCACAGTGCCAACCGGCTGGCCCTGCTTACTTTATTTTTAGAGCAGTGAGGTGCACAGCAATACTGAGCAGAAAGTTCAGGGATCTACTCCCTACACCCCCATGCACACAGCCTCCCCAACAATCAACATCTTCCACCAAAGTGGTACATTTGTCACATTCCGTGAAACTGCATTGCCACATCATTATTGCAGTATAATGTTTTCAACTGAAATTTTTCTAAGAATTTCAATGTTAACCATTTTCTTCAGGCAATTTAAAGATTGGCACCTGAGGGGTGCCGACCTGATGGCACAGCAGTTAAGTTCACATGTTTGACTTTAGCAGCCCTGGGATCACCTGTTGGGATCTCGGGTACAGACATGTCACCACTTGGCAAGCCATGCTGTGGCAGGCATCCCACATATAAAGTAGAGGAAGATGGGCATGGATGTTAGCTCAGGGCCAGTCTTCCTCAGCAAAAAGAGGAGGATTGGCAGCAGATGTTAGCTCAGGGCTGATCTTCCTCAAAAAAACGCCAGTGGGGATAATTCATGTGGCATGGAGAGGAGACATCCACAAGAAAGATAGTGTGGGAATCCTGAAAACGTGGGGGAGGGTGGGGAGCAAATCATACAGTTGTAGGGCTGAGCATTAGCTGGGAATAAGACAAGATCTTCTGTTGGAACTAGATAAGGCAAAGCAGGATAAATGAAAGGGTAGAAGTTAAAGCAGCGTGTGTGGCTGTTTAAGGGAAAGTGGGGGGAGGGGGGTACATTTCGGGTCCCTCTCTGGTTTTATGTTAATTTGCTCCTGCTGACAGACATGGTCTCCCGTTTGGAATGAAGTTAGGGGTGGGGAGGAGAATCAGGACAGTAGTTCTCAGTGTGCTGTTTTTTAAGAAACAGGAAGTGACTCATAATTTAATTTTACCTGGCAAATTTTGTGTTTCATTTAATTTGTAATAGAATTCTTGCAAGCTAGACATTACTTCAATGTCTCATCAAAAGCATTGCTACTATTCCCATTCATTCCGATGATCCAGTCTCCTAGTGGTAGAAGGGATTATACTGGGTGACGGTCCACAATTAATTTTTTGCACTTCGATTTGAGAATCTCAGATTAAATACAGAGTGTCTTTCTCCTCTTAACTTTATTTTCCTTAACTAACTTATTCTTCTAAGCCCCACTTCCTATTTGTTATCTCTGTTTAATGTCTTTTTCTTTTTTCTGTGACTTTCTATGCCTTGGGTATACTTGGATAAACTTCACAGAAGTGGGCCCAGTATTTCTACCTTGAACTTGGTAAAGTCTTGAGAGAGATACCCCCTTCTGGATCCTCAGCATAGTCATAATCCAGGTTTAAACACACACACACGTCTGAATCTACAACCTTAATGCAAGACCAAGGAATCTTATTTTAAAAGGTCTCCCCAAGCAGCTTTTTCCTGTATCCCACATTTACCAGTGACTTATGCAGAGAAATGTAATAGTGAAAGAACTGAACTCAGCTTTGGGAGCCTGCATTGTCATTTAAAAACTACCTCTGTGATCTTGGACAAGCTACTGAACCTGGGTGGCTCCGTGTTGTTTGGGAATAATTGTGCACTACGTTTAACAAACCTATCATAGTTTTGCGAGGAGCAGACCTGATAGCATATGCAAAGGTTCTTCACAGACTTTACCCACACTTGACCCTATCGGTGTTATTCTCTTAAAGCACCTTTACTTATCTCTGACTCAGTAATCGTATAAACCTCCAAGTTAATGCATTATATTTTAGGTATAATCCATTAGCAACTTCCAACCAAACAGATATTCTTAGAATCACTGAGCTTTCCTCCTGGCTGTCTCCTTCCCCTTCTAGTTATGATGTGAATTCACATTTCCAGAATTCCAGAGAGGTTATCGTGCAAGCTAAAAGGTCTTTGCAAGGACTCATACATCACAGTTCCCTTCAGAGAACGAAGGGGCCGTCTCAGTCTGCAGCCTGGATCAACTCCTCATTCCTAAGAGAGCCTTACAATGATAGCTAACGTTTTTGAATGCTTAATGTGTCCCGGGCACCACTCCAGGCATTTTGCACATACTCATTTAACTCTCAGATTACCCAGTTGCTATTATCGTTATCATCTCTGTTTTGTAAACAAGGAAACTGAGGTACCGAGAGGCTAAATCACTCCCCTAGGTGTGGAGCCAGGCAACCAAAGACGAGATACTCGTCATAGTGTATTCCTTTTCTTGGCAGCATCAGGATTTTGAGTGTCCCAGGATGGTATCTGTGTGCCCCTTAGCAGGATGTGACTAGCTTCTTGGGAATCCCAGCGGCTGCTGATGCCTCCCGGAGAGTGACGTTTCATCCGAAGGGGACAAGGAGGCAGCGAGCGCAGAGCGCCGAGCTCCCAGCCGCTCGTCTGCGCAGCCCGGGTCACCTAGAGCCCAGCCCGCAGACAGGGTCGGCTGGGGCGGAGCTTCCCCACCGCCGCCGGAGCCGGGGCCGGAGCCTGGGCCGGGAGGCAGGGGGGAACGTGTTGCTGAAGTCCAGCGAAGGCGCTTCTGCTTCCCAGCGCCGCCGGGGCTCCGTCCTTGCACCGTGGGCAGGTAAGGGCGGGTCCGGCTGGGCTGGGGTCCCCCGCGCCCGCCCCTGGCTTGGATGATTTGTGTTAGTGATTGGGGACTGTTACCTTAGATTTTGTGACTTTGCTCTTTACTTCTCCCAAATCCCTTCCTAGATCCATAATCACCCTCTGTAGTGTCACAGTCCACGAGAGTGTCCCTTTGGTGGCCAGCCTAACTTTGGGGGGCCTTCCCTGCCGGGGCTATCCGGACCACGGGTGCCGGTTCCCAGGCTCGCAGAGGTGGGCCTGGGGCGAGGGACGAGGGGGCGGTTTCTTAGCTAAAGTTCTCCAAAAACCCCTCTCCAGGGCTGTATTGTTATAATTTTGTTGTATCTCCTCGGAGAGCGAGCCTGATTGATGCTAGAGAGAGATTTCTAAACTGTTCCCTTCATCCGTGAGGATTCCGAGCAATGATTTTGGTGTTCCTGAGGCTGAATCTTGTGCGTTTCCACTTGCCAGGAAGGCTAAAATGCGGTTTCTTACCCGGGTCCAGGACACCAAAGAGCCCTCGGTGACGGCACTTGGAGAGAGTTTTAGCTCTTTCTGGGGGTGAAATGGGGTTTCCAGGCAGTGCCAGTTTAGCCTCGCTTCTGCTAATCCACCAGGCATTTTCCAACAGCGCAGCTCTCTGTCAAAGTTAGGGTCTGGAGTGGGAGCAGAGGAAAATTATCTGCTCTGCGCTGTCGTCTTTGTTAAAGACAGGCTGTAAACTACGAAACAAAGATATATTTGTTTATCCCCCATTTTCCCTCAGCTAGACTGTGGACATTTCAAAGATTTATTCATTTTAAAGGATCTTTAGTATAAGATGACATAAACTGTTAAGAAGACGCTGGGGTTTTTTCCTGAACAAAGTATTTAAAGTTATTTTAACCATGCATCTAAACTTCTCTTTCCAAATCATTTTCAGTTGATAACTAACAAGGGGGAGGATGGGCAAATTGTGGCTTGTAAACTGCGGACATATTTCTGTTTTCAGCAGGAACTCTAATTAAACCAAAATAGCTTGTGTAAAATTATCTTAATAATGATATTTTAAGTTATGGTTGAATTTGCAGAATTGCTATGAAATGCTCAAAGATAGAACTATTATCATGAACAGAAATTTGAGTGGCAATTGTATTCATCTGTAAAAGCTACTATTGATTAGTAATTTAAGAAAACAGCTCAGGGGCTGGCCCGGTGGCGCAGTGGTTTGTACGTTTGGCTTCTTGGCTGCCAGGGGTTCGCCGGTTGGGATCCCAGGTGCGGACATGGTCCGGCTTTGCAAAAGCCATGCTGTAGTACGCGTCCCATGTATACAGTAGAGGAAGATAGGCATGCATGTTCGCTTAGGGCCAGTCTTCCTCAGCAAAAAGAGGAGGATTGACAGTAGTTAGCTCAGGGCTAATCTTCCTCAAAAAAAAAACAAAAAACAAAAACAAAAACAAAACAGCTTCACTATTTTTAAAGGTACGTATTAATATTATTAAAGACTGGATATTGTAATAATATAAAACGTGCTTTCACTATTGCTTGATAATGACACGAGTCACTCATTTATCATTAACCTATCCTATAAGTTTTTCTAAAACCCATATAATCCAGTGAGATCTTTCCACCAGCTGTTGTTTCTTGATGTCTATAGGCATCCTCAGGAGAGTTTGAATCTCAAACTTATCTTTTCCTGCATCTATCATCTATCTATTTTAGCTGGTATTTTTATTCTGGAGCATTTGGGAATACATTACAAGGTATTTAAAAGTATATATTAGAAATTTCTTGTTTTATCCATAGCTCCTGTTAATCATACTGCTCACCACTGTTCTCTTTTACAGGTGTCAAAGGCTGTAAGATGTATAGATACAAATTCTGTTACCCAATGAATTATTTGCTCCTGTAAACTTTGTTCATTTATTGTTCTTGGCTTTTGAAGGTGTGACTTTTGATGAGAATTCCTTGCAAATGCCTCTCTGATAAATATTCTTGAACTTTTTCACTGTTTTACACTAAATGGATTTCCAGGTGTAATCGGGACGCAAAATAAGGAGAAACTTTGTTCCTCAAAGCTTCATTTATTTAAAAATAATCATTTTGTAAAATACTACCCTCTTTACTGTGGAGACGGGAATCAATTTTAGGTGAACACTTTAAAACTGTCATACATACTAAAAGAAAGGAGGATAAATATACCTAAAATGTATCTCTATTTCTAAAATATATCTATGTACTCTTTTAATAGTTTTACCAAATTGTTCTCTTAAACACATGAATTTATTACTTGCCATTAGCCCAATCTTGACAGCTGAATTTTCTTCCTGTTTTCCTTTAGTTTTAAGTTCTAGCTCTTTGGGATAAACTAGCTCTTAAATGAATTTTCCAGTTGCCTTGAAACCGAACATTTAGGGTCCAGAGAATTGCATACTATTGAACCAAAGGCAGACGTAAATATGCTGACCCAGGATGAATTACAACGGTCACCACGGCAGACAGATGTTTTGAATGGCTCTCATGTCTTTCACACAACTCGTGGGATCTGGAGGCACAAGACTTCTAAAACTGCAGAGATCAGGTTTTCTTCCCAGTCAGGCTTCTAACTGGCTCTGCACTGGGGCAAATCATACAACTTCTCTGAGTCTAAGATTTCTTGAATGTGAAAGGATGAGTTAGAATATGATTTCTGAAATCTTTTCACCCTTCCGGGTTTCACTGTTTCTATGGTAAGAGGACAGAGGATCCATGGTGAGAAGACTCAGACATCCTTATTCTGACACTTGAGAGCAGCTGCCCTTAGGCAAGGCCCTGAAAATTCTATGGCATCAATGTCCCCTATGTAAAAAGGGCTCTTAGAAGGAATGAATGGGATGGTACATATGACTGTGCTAGATGCAGCATCTGTCACGTAGGAGTTGCACAGTGGTTTTTTGAAGGTGCTATCTCTGACACCTCCAAAGGTGTTTCTGGCTCTAGCAGGGGAGGAGATAGGCAAAGTGTGGAGAAGTCCCTCCTGCATGTTCAGATGGCCATTACCAGTATAACTCCAGTGTGCCAGGACCAGGAGATGGGAGAGTCAGGGCCTCAACATCTCATGAATGCCTCTTTAATATCTCCCCATCCTCTCCGCCCAAAAGTCAAAGTGACCCAGGAAAGCACAAAAATTAAATTTATCTTAATGCCACACAAGACTGAGAAGACATGCTCTATTTCAGTTCTCTTATCAAACTAGGTTCAACTCTGTTCCAGCTAAGAGCCCTGGACACATTACATAAGGGGCATCAGAACAGCAGCATACCCAAACCACACCACGCCAGTAATTTAAAGAAAAAGGAAAGAAAAAAATGAACAAAATAACCCCTGAAATGCCAAGAAACTGGTTCTCCCGTAATCTTGTTGCTACTAAAAGTTTAATATTTCCAAATATTCCAAAATATATTTCTTACTTTATTTTCTTCTGGGGATGTGAAAGCATCTCATTTAGGTGCCCGTATGGAGTCTGGGTCCCCTGTGGCCCTTGCAGGTAAAGTATCTTCTACTAGGACAGATGTACCTTTTTCTAGTCCCACAGAAACCTCAGTTGACCTATCTATCTTTTCAAAACTTCAGAGAGTCTACCAAGCGCATTTGAATATTACAACTCTGGTTGCATTCCCACAAAATTTAAAAAACAACAGTTCCTCAAAGCCAGATAAGATAGTAACAGCTAAGCTTTAGTGAGGTGTAACTTCACCTCACTATCTCACTTAATCCTCCTGATCTGGGGATTGAGTACAATCACAATCCCTGTTTTGTTGATAAGGAAACTGAGGCTTGTCAATAATTTGTTCAAAGTAAATATGTTTATTAGGTTGAGGAATCACGATAATGAACTCATGTGTCCTTCAAGTCCACACACTTAAATTCTATACTGCAGGGCCCCCAGGCATATCATAATAGCAGCTTATTTTCAAAATTACTGATTTCTGCCTATACCAAGACTTCCCAAGCAAAAGCTGCAATAGGAAGAAATAAATATTACAGTCTTGACGAAGGTTCTTATAAACAGAAGTAGGAAGCATCAATCACTTATGAAGCTTTTTCAAGTGTCTGCACTTGGGTCCCACCACTGAGCCCAGTGGGTCTGGAGTCGGGTCTGGGTGTGTGTATTTTCATGATTCTGAATGAAAATAATCCTCATGATTTCTCATAGTGAAAAAAATTGGTCCTAACCCACATTGTTATTTGCAGCCATAGAAGAAACAAGTATCATCTGGGAAAGGGGGTATTTAGAGAAACGTAACAAGAGGCTAAATGTTTCTGGAATTCAGCCTCGCCAGAATGCCAGTTAAATCAAATAATTGTCTATATTAGAGTTTACCACCTGTGGACATAAAACATGATAAGGAAAAACTTCAAATCAAGAGCTTGTTCCGGGGAGGGTAGCAGGAATCTGTCACTTATACAAACTGCTTCCCCTTTCAGAGTGTCATCTCAAACACCCTTGTCTCCTTGCAAAATGCGGACATTTAAAGAGGTGTCACCCATAGTACCCAGAATTCCTCAGAACTTTCCCGACTTTCCCTGAAAATAGGGCATCTCATTTAAAGTCTTTAAATTTAAAGTGCCTCTTTAAAGCTTCTAAAATTTCCTGTCCATTTTACTTCCTGCGCCTGCATTCTGGTACACAGGTACTAAAGTGAACGTGAGCTCTGTAGGAGCACAGCCTCTAGTCCTTCCTATGCGCAGAGGGCTCCACATCCGCAGCAGGGCCTGCAGTGCAGTTTATGCATCTTCCAAAAACAGCAGCCCTGGGGGCTCACTGGAGACCAACCCACGCTGCCCAAGTACCCCTATCCTGAGCTTGCTTTTCTTGATATTTTGATTACCAGGTTTGAGTAACTTCTCATTTGTGGAAGTAGGGCCTTGAAGGTTCCACAGTAAGCAAAGCCTTAGAAGTTCTCTCTGACTTCTTCCTTGGCTCTGCCCTCTCCTGACCTCACTTGTTACCTACAGCCTTGAGGGTTTGTG